CACTCACTCACTCACTCACTCACTCACTCACACACACACACACACGTGAACTGCTGTTTTACTTGCCTTCATCTGTCAGTGGTTTGAAAACCGTTTGCAAGAACTTTGTGTTGTTTGTGAATGCCGGATCATCTCAGGATCTGCTGAGTTTAGTTTTTTATTGACATCAAAGACTTTCTGAATCTGAATACAAAATGTCAAAAATCATACTTGAATTAGAAGCCGTGGGCCAAAAATAAATGTTGCATTATATTAACCATATTATATTAACATTAATTACATTTCTAACATTTTTTAATTATTTAAAAGTTAATGCTTTATTTTTTTAATTTAATTCATTTTTTTACATTTCAGTGCAAAAATAAAAAGAGACTGACACTGATTCTCTATTTACATGAGAGACAGATGATCATTTTGGCCAGTGGCTTTGTCTCTTTTCACATCCCATATGAGAGACACTGCAGTGATTCTGTCTACAATTTGAGACAATTTGTGTGTGTGTGTGTGTGTGTGTGCAGGGAATGGTTCTTCCTCCTGTCTCACGAGGTGCTGAACCCCATGTACTGTCTGTTTGAATACGCTGGCAAGAGCAACTACTGTCTGCAGATCAACCCAGCATCCACCATCAACCCCGATCACCTGTCCTACTTCTGCTTCATCGGACGCTTCATCGCCATGGTAACACACACACACACACGCTCACACACGCACTCATACACACACACACACACACACACACACACATAAACACACTCACTCACGCACACTCATATACACATACTCATAAACACTCACTCATGCACACTTATATACACATACTCATAAACTCACTCACACACACTCATATACACACACACTCATAAACACAAACTCACACTCACTCATGCACACTCATATATACATACTCATAAACACACTCACACACACTCATATACACATACTCATAAACACACACACACACGCACACTCATAAACACTCACTCACACACACTCATAAACACACTCACACTCACTCACGCACACTCATATACACATACTCATAAACACTCACTCATGCACACTCATATACACATACTCATAAACTCACTCACACACACTCATATATACACACACACTCATAAACACAAACTCACACTCATGCACACTCATATATACATACTCATAAACACACTCACACACACTCATATACACACACTCATAAACACAAACTCACACACACACACACACACACGCACACTCATAAACACTCACTCACACACACTCATAAACACACTCACACTCACTCACGCACACTCATATACACATACTCATAAACACTCACTCATGCACACTCATATACACATACTCATAAACTCACTCACACACACTCATATATACACACACACTCATAAACACAAACTCACACTCATGCACACTCATATATACATACTCATAAACACACTCACACACACTCATATACACATACTCATAAACACACTCACACACACTCATATACACATACTCATAAACACACACACACACACACGCACACTCATAAACACACACTCACACTCACTCACACACACACACTCATAAACACTCACTCACACACACTCATATACACACACTCACTCACGCACGCACGCACGCACGCACGCACGCACGCACGCACGCACGCACGCACGCACGCACGCACGCACGCACGCACGCACGCACGCACGCACGCACGCACGCACGCACGCACGCACGCACGCACGCAC